AACGCAACTAGTCCGGAGTCCATTGTATGCATCATCATTTCCAGAGTAGGACCGTAGACGTGGTACATTCTTAGACGTTTCGCCGGCATCGTCAGTAAGTCTCACCATTTGTAGAACCATATTACAACTCGTCAAAGTGACAAGTAAGTACATCTTTTGACCAATCGTATGCTAAACAGTTGTAGTATCTCCCCTTATGCACTGGGCTATTCACATTTCCTATATCCTCCTATCATGCTTCCCTGTCACAAATACATTAAAAATAAGCACAGTAAAAATAGCCCAGTGCATAAGGAGAGATATCACAACTGTTTAGCACACGTTTGGTCAAAGGATGTGCTTCACTTGTGCCTTTGACGAGTTGTAATATAGTGCTACGAATGGCGAGACCCACTGACGATGCCTACTACGATGCCGGCGAAACGTTTGGGAATGTACCACATCCACAGTCCCACTCTGGAAATGATGATTCATACAATGGACCCGGGCTAAGTGCGTTCCTCTAAGTCTTCCTACCAATATGACTAAGTTGCGAAAACAAAGTCAAACAACTTCCATAAAAGAATAAGATTCAAATGTTAAAAGCTACTTACCTTCTGACCATCTTTAGACCAATGATAGTTGGGCAGAAAATTGCCGTCCGCAGAGCGATTGAAAAATAGAGGCCAACGGCGCGTTTTCTCCAGAAGACTGCGCGGCAATAGACCAAGAACCTCAACAATTTTCATCATCTGATCGACCTGAAGGAAAATAGCAGAGCGTAGATAACATGGGAATGTTATAGATAATTTTATGGATTTGAATAAATATTTTAGAATTGGATGGGATAAGGAATAAATAATATATGCCAATCGATACACAGTCGAAGGTTAAGAACTGCAAAGAAGGCACCGACAAAATCATACCAAGAATCACAAAGTTCACCCATTTAATCAAAACATAATCTAGGTTATCAATATTAAACAATTAAAATAATTAATTACTACATAAGATAACGAAAATCAAAATATTCAGAGGGAGAAATGAAAGCTTAGCAAAAGTAAAAATACGACACCTAAGTAAAAATTATGTATAAGGAGTATTTTAAATGGTCGATGAGATGTGGATGAACAAATGAAAAATGTAGCCTAACTAACATCTAAGATTATTTTGCAACTTGGCAGGTTAAATGCTGGTCTAAAGCCTAGAGAGCACGAAGAACAAAATAAGAATATTAGATGCATATTAACATACTACTACGATCAGTAATATGTATAATTTACTTAATCTAGATAAGCTTGTTAAAATTTTAATATATAAAACAGCTGGTCAGTTGGCAAGGCAGGCACCAAGATCAATAGAAAATTGTGCCCGAAACTCGAATCCCCAACCCGAATTATGTTTCCCTCGTAATTTCAAGTAGAAGCAGAGGGTAAAGTGTATATAATTATGAGTAAACACTTATCCATTAATAATTTTTACATAATATAAGGTTAATTATATAATCCCAAAACAAAAGTTTTTTTACACAGTTGAAATCAAAGAGTGCATTAAATTAAAATAAAGAGGTAAATAAGATCTTACCTCGTCTTGCCCTGCAAAAAGAGGTTCACCCGTGTGCAATTCCACGAGAATGCAACCCAAAGACCACATATCAATACTCATTGTATAATCGAGACCTAGCAAAACATCAGGAGAACGATAGAACCGGGATTGGATGTATTGATAGACCTTCTCTCGGACGTGGCAGGAACTGCCAAAGTCGACGAGCTTTATGGCCGATCGTTTGGGGTTTACGAGGAGAATATTCTCTGGTTTAAGATCACAATGGATTATCTGCATGTCAGGTCGTGAAAGAAAGTCTAATGCAGAGCAAAGCTGTTGGGCAAATTTCCGCGTTAGATTAAGCGATACGCCGCGGAAATTAGTGTTCTTGATCAAGTCGTACAGGTTGTAGGAAAGCAGCTCAAATACAAGGCAGAGGTGGCCACGGAATGTGAAATGAGTAAGTAGGCGAACTAAAGCAGTTGGGAGAAAAGATTATCAGGTAAAAAAGCAATTTAGTGGAATAAAACAATAGAATTTACCGTATTTTCCGGTGTATAAGACAACTTTTCACACTACAAATTTCTGCTCCTAAGTAGGGGGTCGTCTTATACGCCGAGTGTAGTTTAGGGATCGCTAATTTTACTATGGTTCCGAGCTCCTGTTGTGAACCTTACCTCCTTACAAAATCTATATTTTAACTGGAAAAGTCAGGGGTCGTCTTATACGCCGAAAAATACGGTAAGTAGATTTAGAGACTGTTCTTATTCAAAAATAGTTGCAGTCAAATTCGAAGTACAAATGTTTTTATAGCGAGTATTCGGATAGAGATAAATGAAAAGTTATCAATAAGCTTTTTTTAAAAAAGAATTCCCTTCAAGTTCAAAAATGAAATGTAATATATGTCATCAGGTCTTAGGAAGAGGACGTTTAATCGTAATATGCAGAAAAACCGGTTTTCGTATTTGTAAATAGAGGGAAAGACCATTGAGTGCCTTCAAGATACTATCTTGAGTTATGCAATTAGTTATGCTCAAATAGCAATTAATGGAACTAGCGCTTAAAGTTGCTAGATAAAAATGAGTATGATTGCGATCTTACAGAATATAAGCTGAAAATACATGACAGCAGAGTAATCTAAAAAATTACTAAGTCGAAATGAAAAAGCATCCACTTGGTTTCACAAAAGACACTAGCTACTCAGGTGGTAAAGTATATCAAAGAGA